AAGTTGAAAGCTTTTAAAAGCAATCATTTCTCAGGTTGTATTCTAGGTAACAGAATACAAAACGTACACACATACACCCGTGTGTACACACACACACACGCACACATACAAACCATCTGATACTAATTTGGGAAACACTACACTTTGGGAAAAAGTAACAAATCTCACTTCAGTAACAATCATGGTAGATAAAAGACAAGACTACTAATTTTTTCTTCAAAAAAACCAGTTTGAAGTTAAGTCCTAGTTCTGCCACTAATTACACGACTCTGAGTCTGTTTACATACGAAAATAAAATAGTAATATCCACCACTGCTTACTTCATTAAGTTTGTTATAAGGATTATGAAGCTATAGTGAAAAAGCTTTGTAAACTATCTGTCGTGTGCTGAATTTTGTGCCCCTTTCCTCCATTAATTTATATGCTGCAGGCTCAACCTCCAGTACCTCAATCTATTTGGAGATAATCTTTAAAGAGGTGATTATGTTAAAATGAGGCCACTGGGGTAGGGCCTTAATCTAACATGACTGATGGCCTTATTAAGAAGAAGAGACTCTAGGGCTGCACAATCACACAGAAAAGTCCACATGAGGACACAGTAAGAAGGCAGTCGTTTACAGGTCAAGGAGACAGACCTCAGAAGAAACAAAACCTGACAACACCTGAATCTTACACTTCCAGCTCCTAGGATAATGAGAAAACAAATTTCTACATTTAAGTCCCACAGTCACTGGTATTTTGTTATGACAGGTCTAGCAAACTAATATACTATCAAATGCCATACGAATGATATTCATAAAACCCACCTACAGTTGAGTTTATATCTTTTAAATAACAGTTTCTTATGGTTCACCAAAAATAATGTATCATATGGCTGGGCACAGTGGCTCACACCTGTAATCCCAGGACTTTGGGAGGCTGAGGCAAGTGGATCACTTGAGGTCAGGAGTTCAAGACCTCATGACCTGGCGACTTCAAGGCCTGGCCAACACGGTGAAACTCCATCTCTACTAAAAATACAACAATTAGCTCAG